GGAAGACGGATGAATAGCAGATACTGTAACCACACTACATGCCTGATTAGAAGGGTGTCTGCAGGACCCAGACCCATCTGTAGGTGTGTAGAAACAAAGGCTGAGGTACAACTCAGCCTGAACAATGTTATGGTCGTGATTATGTGGGGTTAGGGTTCACTTTTCAGTACTTTTGGAAACATCATTACAACATCATTATAACTGAAGGTCTAATATATTTGCAACATGAATAGGACATGCTATTTACGTCATTTATTTAAAGCATTTCTTGATAACGGTATTAACGGTATTGTGGATATTGCACTCTTATTCAGCCAGGTCTCAGTTTAGCTAAGCCCAGTCTGGTCACTGTAAGTTTCTGTTCTATTCTTGTGTATGGCAATAAAATTTGGCAAGTAGCCGTGAGGGCCCCCCGACGATAAAATTTTCCAACCAGGAGTGGTCGACTGACGATAAAATTTATTGACTGGGGAGGGAGGTTCCTACAGGAAAAATAACTGCCGAATGGGGGGGTGGTTGTGTGGTCCAGATGCAATTGTCGTTCAGCCCAGATGGAGGTTGGCTGGTGAAAACTGGTACAGATAAATATTTATCCGTATGCCTAGAGTTCTTCATAAATACTGCCGTAGTTCATCCATCTTCATACCGTCGGTGAGACCTGGACCCTGATGTAGGCAGCATACTGGTAGACAGGCCTAGGAGGCTGTCCCACCATCGGGCACAGGACCATACACTACAGGCAAGGTACAGATGCCTTATCGTATGATCATGGTTTGCAGGAGAAAAACTGGGAGAACATGGAAACCGCACACACATACAGGAGGTGGAACTCAAACCCGACACTGAGCCTCCCCTGTCAGAATTCAGCTCTTCATCATTCATTACCGCTTAGTAGGGCTGCTGTCATTAGCTGACACAGTCGATGACGTTGACGCTGAAAATGCTTCGATACCAATATTTTAAATCGACATCCTTTTAAACGCTTATTTTACTACGATATTCTTTTTGATTTCTGAAATGCTTCAGTTCATTATAACAAAGGTTTCTCTTCCATATCACTGTAATTATCGAAGTAGTTCAAATTACCACAAAACAAAAAGGTGGTTTGTATCCTGTGCCAAGTGTTGACGTCATGCTACGGCGGCACCTGCGCTATGCACAAGCACATGAAGAGAAAACACACAGCCGCTATTCTGGATGATGGACCGCCAGAAAAGACATAACCACCATAAGTGATGTCTATTCATGTTTATTAAAATTACCATTAGTATGGAGAGCATTTCAATTTCAACATCAGAATTTTCATTGAGTAACTGAAAAAATGTTTAGAATAGAATCTGGGATTATTCTACATTGATTGACAGTGCCAGTGTATGTTTGTGCGCGTTGAGCTTGTTGTGGTCAGTGTTATTATTGTAAACTAAAACTGAAATGAAAATGGACATTAAATTTAAAAAAATCGTGAATGGAAGTAAAAATGAAAACTATATTTATGAAAAAATGTGTGGGACTTCAAGCTGCAAAAAGTACCGCCACACC